TGTGACGAGGTGGCTGCAAAAGAAAACTCACTCTTTCGAACGTTTATTTATTCAAACGAAGCTAACAATTGAAAACAATTGAAAGTTAGTAAAGTTTTGTCTGATGTATTATGTCCGAGTAAAGATAGTAAAGTTTTGTCTGATTCTCTTGTTTGTTACTTACAAATCGTTTTTTTTCTTTTTTTTTTCTTTTTTTTTTTTGATAAAAAATGATGACATTAGAAATAATATTTTTATTTAAACCTAAATTTTCGTATATATTCATTTTAAATTATTGTAAAAATTTATGAACCATGCGTATGTAAAGATTAAGGATCTTGTATATAAAATTTAAAATTAGAGAAAATATTTAGTGCGAATGATAATTTCTATTATTTATAGTATCTTTGTATTTACATTCTTGTATTGGAAGCAAGAAATATAAATAAAATAATTATTAGTCTAATATATTTTTAGTTTTACAAGCATTTTAATGACTGTAATTAGAATTTATCACATTGAAATATGGGTTATGTAACATAAAGCGCGTTAACAAGATTCGTTATTATGAATCACGGTGTTGTAAATTGTTATCATATACGTTGTAAATAATTATGATAATTTGCGCAATGTATAGCATAATTTACGTGTTTCTTCGTAAAAAAAAAAAAAAAAAAATGCAAAATCAATTATTGAAAATCATATTATTTTATATAAAAGTGTTTAATATCATCCGATTATAGGTATAAAAAATTCAAATTAAATATTTTTTTGTTTAATTACACAAGTAAGATTTACATTTTCCATTTGAGAATATGAATGAACATTTTTTTATTATTATAAAGAATAGATTTTTAGATTATTGTTATTCAAATAGTTAAAACTTTCAAAATTTAATGCTAATGACATTCAATTGTATTGAATAACTGTATATAATATATGTTTGTTGCTCAAATATAACAAATATAATGAAAGTTATAATCTATTAATTACTTTCTTTCTTTTCTTGCTTAATAATAATTTATAATAATTATTTTGTACCAACGTTTTTTTTTTTTTTTTCAAACATAATTTTTTTTTATACTTTTGTTTTTGTTATTTACTGATATTAATATATAAGCGGAAGGCAAAGTAATGAAAATAATTGCAACAATAGATATTACCCGATTGCTTTTAGTTATAGACATAATTTCAAGTAAAGTTATTAAGTTTTTTTCTATTTTTTTTTTTTTTTTTTTTTTTTTTTTTTTTTTTTTTTTTTTTTTTTTTTTTATATTAATATACACGCTTTACCTTTTTCGTCGTCGACGAGAGCTTTTTTTGAATGATTGTACTTTCCAAACCCCGATGAGCATTCGCGAGTCTCTGGATTGACGTCATCGTTGGCAATGTTATTGACTCCTTCGCCGTCGTTTTGAGGATTTAACGAATGACTCTCGAATTCCATATTAATGCTTTCGGAGCTTTCAGCATTTCTGTACTGTTCCATGGCCTGTTGCTCTAGTTCCTGAGTATTAGATTTATAAATAATTAAAGTATCATTTAAATACATTTTACAAAATTATCCTCGTTACTCGAATATTTTTTATATACAATTTCTTCTATTATAATAATTTATAATTACATAAAAATAATATAATATAACCGGTGAATGCAATTTGTTATTTAAATTCAAAATTTAAACGATTTTCAGATGCAGCACATTACTAAAAGCCTTCGTTATCGTTATTACGTGAAATAATTATACAAAATAAAGTTTTATAAAAAAAAAAAAAAAGTTTTCATTTACATATACTATATTTATAAAAGATTTATTAGTTGCAATTGTAATGGTGAAAAACAAATTCAATTGTGAAATAAGTTGTTAATTTTCCAATTAACAAAACGTTATTTATAAGTTGATATGTTATTATAGTTTATCAGAACAGAATATTAATTTTAAAATTAAAATCTTACAATTGAAAGCACCCGAAGAATATTTTTTTAGCAAATACAAAATACTAATTAAGCACAAATATTAAAATATTATATTTTATATATGATTTAATTGGATTTATTTCTTTAGGCGCTTAAATAATATTAAGAAATTATATATATATATATATATAATATACATATATACACACAAACACACACGCACACTTTTGTCTTATATGTAATTCTATGATATTATTTATGCAATACTTTTTTATTACCTTATTACAAATGGAATTCTAAATAAATTATATTTGCTACAAATATTACTCTGTATATGAGCTATAATGAGCGTCACATATATCTTACGAAATATAACTTACGTTTATACAAATTATAATAAATCATGAGACATTTAATTTAAATACATTTTGTTAAAGAGAAGATTTTTTTTTTTTTTTTTTTTTAATGTAGATTGTAACTAATTATTCATGTTTTATTAAAAAAATAAGAGTTATGTCGTCAAGTTACGTCGTATAAATAAATAAATAAATAATTTAATAAAATTTAGTTTAAAAATTATATAATCGTAGATTATCTAAGCGAAGACGGCTATTATGATAGTTTTGATTTGTATAACTTGTCATTCCGTTTCAGAAATTTCGTTTATTTTATAAGTTAAAAGATAGAATTACTTGAAATAAAAGAATAATTATTCGTAATTTATTATTATATAATATGAGAAAATAAATTAATTTTCTTTTTTCTTTTTCATTTTGTTCTATTGCATATTTTAATAAATGTATTTTTTTTTTAAAAAATGTCTCATATTATTTTGAAAAAAATTTTAATTAAAAAAATTTTAAAGTTTATTTTCTAATATGAAATATTATATGTAATTAAATTTAGCTTGCAATAGCGTCTTAAGAAATTCAATTGTAATTAATGATTATTTTAAATAATCAATAAAGATTGTTAAAAATTGTTAACAAACAGTTTAATTATCGATATTATTTCAATAAAATTTTGTAAATAAATGTAAATTTGTTTTGAAAAACTCTGTATAAGATGTTCAAAATATTTTAGAACAATATTTGCGATGTCTGACTATATAAAAAATGAGAAAAAGCCAGTTAATTGTGTTAATGATTTTATTTGCCATTTCGTTAATTGATATGTAATAGATTTGATATGGATTTGATGTTTGATGAATATTAAATTTGTAAATACTCGTTTTAAAATAGAAATTTTGTATGAGCTAATATTCGGAATAAATCGTTCGCAGATGGAAAATATTTTATTAATTAATAATTGCCAACGTACCACTAACATTTTACTCAAAGGAGTTTTGACAATTTAGCATAAGTTAATGTTTAATCAATTTAATGACACCGTAGATGACAAATTACTGTTTATCCAATAAAGTTTTGTTAAACTTTAGCTAGAATGGATGCGTTCGGCATTACATTCGGCAAACTTTCAAAGCGAGGAAAATGAAAATAGTGAATTTCAAACTGTAATTAAACATTTTTCTTTAAAATAAAGTAATTGATTATTTGGAATCAGATTCAGATTTGGATATAGTTTATCGAAATTGCAGACTTATATTATTGGAAACTTATTTACCGATAATTAAGTGTACATCTAAATTAAATTGAACTAAATTTAAAAGATGTTTCGGATCTCTACGTATTATTATCAAGACGATGAAAGTCATGAAATAAGAGAATTAAAGTATTTTATTATTTTTCTTTGTGTTATTGTATTTTAATTCAATGAGCAGCAAGTTTACTTGGAAGTTTTGTCATTTATAAAAATTCGAACAATTTATGAGGATTGGAATTTCGAGTAAATCATGCTTGTTTATTTTCGAAAATTTAATGAAATGATTTCCGTTCACTTTATTTCAGACTGCTGATACATTAAGATGAGTCTAAATTTGGAGCATTACTTCATCAAATGGAAGATGGGGTTGGACAAAGAAAGGGCCAAGATCGTGACAAAAAATTGCCGTGTCACTGAAACAACACCAACTATCATTATGTTAAAATTGTATGAATTGAGCTCTGAACTGCTTTCTCATGCATGCAAATTGTATGAAATTCAAGATTTTTTGTTTTTGTTTTCAGTTTTAAAAGTTGAAATTTGTTCTCATCTGGGAAAATATCATAATTGATTATTAATGTTGAATTAATGCGAACTTGGGAATAATTATATTCTAAAGTCTATAATTATATTTTAAATACCAAGATAAATAAGTTTATTATAAATTTTCATACTAATCGTTCTTGCTTTATATGTAAATAAATGCGTAATAATTTTAAACTTTTGACTAATAATGCAGATGACCGCGTAGTATATATATTTGTATTTTTAAGTAAGAGAGGTAAAAAGTCAACAAACGAAACGTCTGTTTATTCTTCATAATTTACAATTTCCGATAGGAAAAGTATTTTAGGAATATCTATTTAATTATATATTATTATAGACATCTATTTCTATTATTCTAAGAAAGTATATTTATAGTATCCTATATAAGAAAGAAGTAGAGTTATTATTTGCGAGTACATAGTAACATGTAGTGCTGGAAGTTTCCCCTTCCTGTCCAACTACGAACAAAGCAATTCTGTTAAATAGCCTACTTATTAACTCGATTACTCTTTTTTTTTCTTTATAAATAGAAATATTCCTTTTCACGATGTTGTTATTATTTTATTTAGGTAGGAAGCGGGAGAAAATGATACGACATTATGTATGTACACATCATTTCAACTAAGGTTTTTAATCTTAGCGATTATAATTATAGAGTAAGATGACAAAGGAAGAGGAAAAAGGGAATGAAAGAAGAGGCAAAAAAAAAAAAAAAAAAAGAAAAAAAGAAAAAAAAAAAAGAAGAAGACTAAATGATGGGAAAGAGGTAGAGAAATAATAAATTAGTCTAAATATAAGATCGAAAATAGGAATGCGCCAAGTAGGAGAATATTTTGTTATAAAATAAAAGATATATAAACTATTATACTAAAGTGAATATATTTTTCATTTCTTATTCAATTCTATAATTCAACTTTCTTCTATTCTTCTTCATATATTATTACTATTATTAAATAACATACAGCATCAATGAAAATAATTGCAAAACCTAAATAAATATTTTTGTTCTTTAATCTTTGCCTAAAACTGAAAAGTATGTTAGAAATGTAGTTTTTTTTGTATTTTTGTAATTCATATAACTTTTGTATCCCATGAAATGCTTTGATCGTATAAAGAATATATTTAGACGTAACATTCTTAATATTTTAGGCATAGTTGTATGATAAGATGAATTGCCAGATGGATTAATTTCGATCAGTCGATTATAATTTTTTTTTTTTAATAACAATGGATGATTAATTAATCTGTAGCTCTTTATAAACGATATTTCGTGAAAGAATATATAGAAATAATCAAAATAATATTAACAGTAGTTCAGCGTATCTTTGTATTAAATTTCTTTTCTTTTCTTTTTTTTTCATTAATTAAATTAAAAATTGAAGGTTATAGTAAAATAAATTTTTATTGGAAAATGTTTGTTTTACAACATCACTGTAATATAAACGACAAAATGTTTTCTGCCACATTTCATTGAAATATTTATTTTTGTGTAAGGCGAGCCGTTGTTCATAAAATTATCAGCAGAGAAATTTCGAAATATATTATTGATTTAAGCCAACGTGAAAAAGCAATAAATTTTTTTATGAATATTACAAGATTAAATATTAGATGCATATAGATTTAGTTTTTATGTGAATTTTGTGTTTAAAATATATAAGTATGTGCGAGTAATTATATATTAAATATATAGTATATCTAATATATAATAGTATGTGCTAAATATTTGCAAATACATTCTATGATCATTATGTATAAGTGTTCGTGAACATATTGTTATAACTAAAATGACATTTATTAATTTTTCTCAATATGTCACGATAAGTTTAGGAAAAATGGACGATGCATAAATTTTATATGATGTAAAAGCGATTTTAAAGAAATTATTCTTAATGAAATTTTTACTCGGTTTTTTGGTACGATTTTAATCAATATAAAGTTCAATATAAAAAAATTAATTCGATAATCGAAATAGCCAAACAAATTAAAATTTGTTTTTTAAAGCATTGATATTCGTAAAAATGAGTTTTTCATAATGATAAATATAAAAGTTTATAATGATTGTTTAGAATTCGGTTTGTACTATAAATATTTTGCTTTATCTAATATTAAAGAATAAACTACGAAGTTTCAAATATTTTGTTATTTCAAGTATTTTTATTTCAATTAAAGGCAATATTTTGACGGATAACAATTGAAATTTCATTGAAATTTGCATTAAACTATTTTATTTAAAGAAATTCATATTTCAATTGTGTAAATGAAATATGCTTTAATTGGATGAAAATTTAAAAAAACTTATATTAATTATTTCTAATGTATTTTAACTTGAGAGAGAGAGAGGGAGAGAGAGAGAGAGAGAGAGAGAGAGAAGAGAAATACAAAGAAAAACAATTAAAAAAAAAAAAAAAAAAAAAAAATCCTCTACTTTCACGCATGCAAATAATTGAAATTCTTTACACTTTTTTTATGGAATTTGTTAAGTTTTATGTTTATCGTCATTGCATCAGCATATCTCACATCTGAATTTATTTAATTAGAAATTAGAGTTTATCGGCGATAAATGTGCAATTAACTCGATTGCCACGGCCGAATATCACGATGAACGCGATGACCAGATTTAACAGATATGAAAGTTAATACGAATAAAATTGACTGAAAAATCATCAGATTGAACGAGAGCGCTGTTGTTTATAAAATTGCAATTTATTACTTATTATTCGTATTCGTAATTGAAAGAGCTCTTATATAAACGAGGACGCGGTCTGCCGCTAAGCGTTTACCCAGCGTGAAATACATTTTCGCTTTTAATTATAATTTAATTACAAAGCAATGACTTATATTATTAAGATTATGACAAACCAATTGAAGCCAATATAAAGTCGGAGGTCTCGCGCTCCAATGGCGACCAACACAACAGCATGTAATTGGGGAAAAATTCTCGAAGGAAAGTTTACAATCTGTTTATAAACATTCTTTATCAATTCGTAACTCTATAAGGTCCCCTCCCCATCTCCTCAATCACTCTCTTCATTCCCCCTCCTCCACCACATCACCGACCACTAGCATGTATAATGAATTTGATAAAGCCTATGCATCCACGCTCGCCTCTGAAGTATAACGTAACGTTGCTTAAAAAAAACAACAAACAACAGCAACAAACAAACAAACAAACAAACAAACAAAACAAAACAAAAAGGAAAAATAAAAGAGAAGTAAAAAAGAAAATTCAGGGCTTTTGAGCTGCGGTACAATCAAGCTAAAAGTGCTTATTATGCTAGGAGTACTTGGTATCGAAGCGCGAGGCACTCCTCGGACGTCCTGTACTGCTCCATGGCCTGCCTCTCGAGCTCGTCGTACCTCCCCTCGAAACCAGCCGCCTCCTCGATTTGATTCCCACCAAGCACGTCCCTGTAGAGGCGCTTGGTCCCGGGCGTCTCCGAGCCCCCGGCCTCGTCCTCCGGTGATTCTTTGCTCCCGAACCTGCGTCCATGTGCCGAGCGCGGGATGCTCGTGCACACGGTCAGGTACTCTCGTTCTCTGCGCTGTCCGCCCGACAAAATTTCGTTTCACATTGGTAAGCGAGGTTGACTTGCCGCGTGAGGGGTCCGATCTCCGTGGTTTATCACCGGTGCGGTGGGTGGGTGGGTGGGGGGGGGGGGGAGGCAGTGAAGTGACGCCGGCAATGCAGGGAAAAATTCGGGATGACCGTTGGCCAAGTAAGAGCGCGTCTTACCATACCGGGCTCGTTCTACTAAAATCGCCGACGTCGCCGAAGTGACTTACGATCGAATCTTATGATCGAACGGGAATGAAACGGGAATGAAACGGGAATGAAACGGGAATGAAACGGGAATGAAACGGGAATGAAACGGGAATGGAACGGTAATGGAACGGGAATAGAAAGGGAATGAAAAGGACGGGATGAAGCGACGGTTCGCTGGAATTCTCGTAGCCGGTGCACTCGAAAGGGGAGCTGCCGCCGTATGGGAATGGACAAGTGCTCGGCTGCCGACGGAGCTAATGTTCATCGGCGCATTGAATTCACGTTACGTTATTGAGTTCGTAAATTAGAAAATGTTCGATGGCCGATAGTTTGCTCGCACGATGGTTAGTAGTTATTTGCTTGACAGCGACTGACCGTTGGCCCTTGCATAGCCCTCGGAGTTGATTAAATATTTCAAAGTGCTTGTTGCGGCCGATGTTATATTTATCGAACGGATGTAGTGGAATCAATTCAAGTCGAGCCACAGGATTATTTATTATTGATTTAGTTGTTGGCAAAAATTTCTTAAGTTTCGTAATTTTATAGATTATCGATCTCGTTAAATAATAAAACAAAAACCAATCAATTTTCTTTGTAGAAATAAAGATATTTGCGATGCAAATGTGCTTATTAATGCATTAAATTAACGTTAAATTTTAGCAATGTTCTTATTAATGTGACTGCAATAATTATTGTTAATCATAAACGTCTTGTGAGCGTTGACGTAATAAAAAAAAAACAAAAAAAAAAAAAAAAGAAAAAAACAAAAGAGAGAGCAAAAATGTTTCGTATAAATAATTCAATCTCGAATAATTTGAAATGTTTTTGTTTTCGTTCCATCTTTTATGGATTTTCCTAAATTATTGAAAAAAAAAAACAAAACAAAAACAAAATGGAAAGCATAAGAAATTAATTGCAATATCCTTTGACAACGACTAAAATAATGCTAATTGGGTATGAATATGCATCGAATCGACATTATACGGATTCATTCACCAATTCATTTTTCAATACAGAATTTTCTTTATAATATAATATAAAAATTTATAATATAATATAATAAAAAATATATAAAAAGGGCATGTATAGAATGAACTATTTTAAAAATAAGTATAATGGAAAATTCTTTTCTGTTATCGTATTCGAATGCAATTTAAAAATCATATATATCAAGAATATACGGTGTCGAAATTAAAAAATATTTCCTCAAAATGAATAATGAGTTATAATTTAGCATTAATTGTCGGATATCGGTAGACGCGAACGAAGCATACTTTCAATACATTTTGGAAATATTTGAAAATTTTTATATTCTTTATGATTGAAATATATCTAGTCTATTCTCTCTCTCTCTCTCTCTGTCTCTCTCTCTCTCTTTTATTTTAGTTTTTTAGCTCTTTAAATTTAGCACAGATTAGATTTTCGTTATTCGGGAAGGTTATACGTGTAATGCCATAAATGTATTCTTTACTGTGAAAACCAATTTAAATATAAATTCGAATAATGCTAACTTTAATTAAAATACTAATTAGATTATGGCATAAAATATATAAAGCGAATTCACATTTTCATTATATTATATTGAAAAATAATTATATACTTTTATATTCTCGTGTTGTTTTAAAATTTGCAATTTAATAAAAAAAAAAAAAAAAAAAAAAAAAAAAAAAAAAAAAAAAAAAAAAAAAAAAAAAATTAAAACCCGAGTATTTATATGTAAATGAATTACAATCAGTGGCATACTATTTTTACGGCATCGTATTTGTTATAAAAATTATAATGAAAATTTCAAGCTTATTACCGGCATATAAATAAAGATTGTAGCGATTGATACATCCAAGATGCTTAATAATAGATTTACAATAATAGGAGAGATTGGGAAATAAGAACACGAGTTAAATAATTTCTCAGCTTTAGACTTACATAAGCGCGACGATAAATATATTTATAATTCGAAAAGGGTAGAATTGAAGGTGCTAACTAGCGCGATAATGTAATAGAATTATTTATTTGCATTTCACTTCGGATAAATGCCGATAATACAGTCAAAATTAATCATCGAATACTTGGATTTGCGAATAAAGTTTAGTCGATAAAATTTCTTTACAAGCCGCAGTCCAATAAATAATGTGAAATAAAAAATTAAAAAATTAAAAAATAAAAAAAAAAATAATAAAAAATCAGTATTTTTCAGCACTATTGTTAATTAATTAATTAATTAATTAATTATTTGCAATAGAATTATGTGACCTATTGCTGTCGCTTTCCAACGACGTAAAATAACTTAGTAAAATCCAAATAGATTATCTCCTAACAATTAAATAAAGTAATATTTAATTATTTTTTTTTTGTTCACTATAAATACATCAATTGTATTTTTCAACAATGGCGAATTAATATGATGAGCGCATATTACGATATTTTTCTACGATAAAAGAGTATTATTTAAGTTTTATTCTAAATTAAGGATTTTTTCAATTACAAAAGTCTTTGAGTTCTCTAATACTATTATTAATTGTACGGTCGTTAAATTGTAAAATAATTTAGAATAACATGAATATATTATATTATTACTTAAATAAATACCTAATCGTTCAATAGTAAAAGTCAAGTATTGAAAATAAGAAGAAAATAGACTTTCAGCAAAGGGCCATTTTTCAATAGTTTAATAAGATAAATATTTTATATAAGAATTTTTTTTTTACAAATTCGAAAGTAGAAGTTTTTAGGGAAATTCTGAAAACAATTTTGTGATATTTAAAGGAATAGTTAAACTTCTCTGACTAATTCTTTAAAAATGTACGTAAGAAATTAATTGGATTCTGTTGTTCTTTCATCCTTTAGACGTAAATTTGAGGTACAGGAGAATTTAAATAAATTTAATTTAAATTAATCCAATAATATATATTTAAATCTCCGTTCGACGATGACATGTTTGGCCGAGAATAATATTAGATATGAAATTTGTAAATAAATTTAGTATTGTTCAAAGTTGTTTGGAAATGTAAAGTTTGGAAAATTAATAATAAAATGAAGGTATGATAGGAAATTACAACTTGGTATTGCATCTGTCAATTATAATATAATTTTGTAAAACTATATCGAAATATTAGAATCCCTATTTATTGTTTATAAAGATATTTGCGAATGTTATTTGCAAATAAATTTCAATGTTTAAATTTAATTTGAGCTTATAATGCCTTGCTGCTTTTTAAATCTTGCAATGACAAGATTAAAAACGAAAAACAAAAAAACAAACAACAAAAAACAATTCCGCTTTAAAATTTCACAGCTTTCGGAGTTAGTAAGTTCGCATTAACTTTAATAATAATGTAAATAGCGTTTCGTTAAATGTCCTTTTAAGCTCTTTTAAAGCCTTAGAATTGGCTATTAAGGAAGTCTTGGGGCTAAAAAGGCAAGCGATGGTTCAATTATATATTATTGAGATAATAATAATCAAGTTATTTAACCCCGTTCTCTCTCTCTCTCTCTCTCTTTTAGTCAGCCACCGACTCCGTTACCGGGATCTTTATTAAATTTCACGGGTTTATTAAATACGGCTTAGCAAGACGTGGGGTACGACGGAGAGTCAGGCACCCGGGGTTAAGTGATTGTCACGAGTGCTCGCGGTTACCGGCTGTGATCCCTTATCCAACCACCGGCTCGTCGAAGTATTGGGTTTGACGGCTGCAGCTGCTGCTACTACGGTGGCTGCGGTCGAGGTGTTCGAGGATTGTAGGAGTCTGCTAGTGGCGGCCTCGGCGAGACTCTTCTTCGGTCCCTTGATCTGGTTACGTCTGACCTTCATCGCGCTCTTGGTAAGGAGTATGAGGTTGTTGAAGTCTACACCCTGGTTTTTACGCCTTTGAGGGTAGTCGGTGATGAGTTTCCCGGGTCTTTGATAAACGGGTATGGGGGTCGGGCTCTTGTGGATGGTGCTCTGCTGCGGCATCGGCGACTTGGTCACGGACTCCTGGATTCTGATTGGGCGATGTAGGATTGTCGAGCACATGCCCGCCGCAGCCTGCGATGACGTCTGCTGCGGCTGTTGTTGTTGCTGCTGCGATTGTTGTTGTTGTTGTTGTTGTTGTTG